TTTCATGAACTTTAATGGTTAGGTTGCCTTTGTGGTTGAATAGAAGCAATATGACAGAATCACAGAATATTAGAGCTGAAAGAGTCCCTTATAGTTTTATTAATACTTATTTGGACAATAAACATTCAAATGGAACACTGAGATCCAGAGAATTAAGGGTCTTGCCCACAATTAGCAAAAGTAACAACAAACAGAGCTCAGACTGGGACTCATTTCTGATCCATCTGCTCCAGGGGTTTTCCAGAATTCAATATTGGAAACCATATGATATGATACAGAACACCAGGCAGAGCCTCTGCAAAAAAAAAAAAAAAAAATACCTTCCTGTTATTTAGTTTTTGAAAGTCTACCATTAGAGATTCATTAAGAGAGTCTGGAAGGTTTTTTTAGTCTTGAAAAAAGAGGTAGCAGTACAGTTACCTCTGAAAGAGGCATTTGTTTATATCCACTAACAAAATCACAAATATTAGTTGACAGTGACTGTGGCCAAAGACACTAGCTTGAAGACTTGGGAAGGTGTTTTAGACCCTTTGTTTCAAGAATCAGGAACTTTCATGTTATCTCAACTAATGGGGATGGGTGCCTTGTATGAGAAAACCCAGGGAAAGGCTAACCACCTAGTCTCAGAAGAGCAGAAGAACATTTGTCACAGAGCCTGGAAGGTTCTTCAGAATTCAAGGCAGCTCCAGGGACCACATGAGCAGGAATTTGTTCCTTTTACTCTAGCTGTTTACTGCTGGTCCAATTAGCTCCATCCAATGGAATGGGTTCACATGGCACCAGAAATAGCGAGTTATCCCTTCAGGAAAGGACCTGAGTGGGACTTCTTGCTTTGAAATAGGCTGCAGCTTGGCAGACACAATGACTGACCTGTCAGCAGGGCTGGGCGGGGAGGCAGGGGAGGAGCATGGAGAGGGGGTAGGAAGGTGGAGGAGGAAACTGGTGGTGGAGCTGCAGGGCCTGTGTTTGAGGTGCGTCAGTGTTTGGGCAGAGCAATTATAGTGCTGCAGCTTACTAATAGTCCCTCCTAACACTTAAGAAAAAAGGAAAGGCTGTATATTGACTTGAATGAGAAAAGTTCTCGCAGCCCCTGGGCAAAGGAAAAATGTAAATAGGCTTAATTTGTCTGCCAGAGTCCCATCCCTTTGCGTCCCTCTACTGCATCTGACACACTCAGATCCGTAAGGAGCACAATCTCAGATGTGGGTGAGCTTGCCTGGAGTGACTCATCCCATTCAAGAGGGCATGAACTACTGTGGGAAGCAGATCTGAAGCCAGAATCTCATGGTAGTGAGCTAGACCTTGTCATCCTGCCTGCATCCCTCTGCCAGGCTAATCTTCCCACATGCAGATATGATATGGTACGTTCTGTCAAGTAAACTTTCTACACCTTTGTGATGAGAACTCCATTGCAGACTTAAAAGGCATAGAGTTGTGTATACTAGGAAACGTCATTTCTTTGTTTGATAATTTTCCTTGGTGTGCCATCTCCTACCTCTTACTTCCTAGGACCTTATAATCTGATTGTCTTTGTCAAATTTTATTCCTCTCCCCCCAGTTGTGCCTGGGTCGATCATTTTTTCAATGTACATTTCTTCCTACTTTGTCTGTTTGACTCCCTTTTCTAGTCTTCCCAGAAATGCTCCCATGGAATCATGAAACTTCTGAAAGAGAGGGGTAGTCCGGTCTTTTAGCCCCTTGATACCCTGAACAACTACTCTGATTATTCCAGTACTAACTGACCTTCTTGTCTTCTAGGATTCTACAGAACATGCCATCCTTTGCGCTATACTTAGTTTACTATGGAATTACGTACTGTCCTGTATATCACCTTCATTAATATATCGATTGGTTACATCAATCTCTCCCAAGTAAAGCAGGAGACATATTCCCACGTCCTCACTTCTAAGAATGCCTGAAATGTGAAATAAGCGCTATTAAACAGAAAATACAATTTAAACATCAAGTATTAAGTATGCAAAGGGCATTTAACACAATGCTTCGTATATGTCAGGCCCTGTTCTAAGAGCTTTTCATACAGTAACATATTTAATCGTCATAAAAAACCCTATGAGGTGTATTTTCATCTACATTTTTAGATTGTGAGTTGAGCCCCCAGAGAGTTTAAACAATTGGCCAAGGGCCACAGCCAGCAGGAGCTAGAGCCACAATTCAAATCCAGGCAGGTCATGCTCCAGAATATGGGTCTTAACCACTGGCCTGTGTACTCAATGTCACCCCTTCCCTGTCAGGCTCTCTGGAACCTGCTGCTTCATTACGCAGGCCACCGTCTTCTCAACGTTCCTCAGAGCCTGCACTGGCTGCAGTGTGACCAAGATATATTCTTCACCCTTTCTCAGGCACCAATCCTCATATCCTGAATATACCTTGAGCCTCAGCAGAGGACGGAAGTCCCTTCCCAGGCCTATTATCTCTGTGCCACCACCACCAGTCCCCTGGGCGTTCGGCTCAGGATCTGCCACAATCACTGCCTTGAGAAACCCCCACGGGATAACTTGGCTGTGACTTTCCGGCAGTCACCTTCCTTCCTTGCTCTGTTTTGGCTAATTCCCCAGTACCTTGAGGCACTCTTTTTCTTTTCTTCTCAGAGAAATATCTCATGAGTCTCACTCTCCCTTAACTTCCAGGAGCCTTTCTCAGTAGTTGGTATATTTTATCTTAAAGTCTGAATTACATACCTTTATTTTTAGATATGGTTTCATGTGCAAATATCTTGTTGTTTGACTCCTCTCTAAGTCTTACGGCCAGCGCATGTAAATACCACGTGCTGGGGATCCGTTCTATCACACAGCCCACCTAGCACGATGAGAACCTGTTGTGGCGAGGCAAGAAATGTATATTGATTGTGGCTGTGATTTTTCGTTTTTACTTATTCATTTATTTTTTGAGACAGGATCTTGCTCTGTCACCCGGGCTAGTGTACAGTGATGTCATCATAGCTCTCTGCAATCCAAACTCCCAGGCTGTAAGCCATCCTCTTGCCTCAGCCTCCCGAGTAGCCGAGACTCAAGCACATACCACCACACCCAGCTAATTATTCTATTTTTGTAGAGATGAGGTCTCATACTTGCTCAGTCTGGTCTCGAACTCCTGGCCTCAAGCGATCCTCCCACTTCAGCCTCCCAAAGTGCTAGGATTACAGGCGTGAGCCACTATGCCCGGCCTTTGGCTGTGATTCTTTGTCACTCAGAAATGCTTCCTACAATGTATTGTTTATATGATCCAAATTTCTAAAACAAATTATACACTATTTCTTTTGTAAATCCTTAAACAATAAATAGAGTGAATTCATGAAAGTAGCCTGGGTTGATTAAAAAGAACACTTTTATGCAACTTGAAATGACACGATACTCGTGATTCAAATAAAAATCATGTGGAGTTATTTACTTTTCTGTGTGAATAATATTGTTATCTTAATCTGTAATCTCGGATAGCATGTGGATTTTAAAACTTAAGAAGGAGACACCTGAATGCAGACCTCATCACACCTAATTCACCAAAAAAAAAAAGAAAGAAAAACACCACAAATTCTGTGGGATGGTCTCATCATTGGTCTTGGTGCTTCCATGAGTGTCATTGACTTTAATATATATTTATACATGTGTGTATTTATACGTAACT